ACAAAAAACAAATAACGGTGGCCGGTGGGGGGGGGGGGGTGGGGGTGGGGGTGGAATCAATAAATCGTTTATGCGCGGCCGTGAATGATTCGCCTGCGCCGTAATAAAAACAATTCACAATGTATTATCAATTCATCATTAACACCTTAATTACTCATCGCATTCCTTCCTCCACCTGGACCCCGCCGCTCTTATACAATAGATTTCAATGCGACTCTTAATCTCATCATTATTTGTCATAATTTATGATTAAACAGTTGATGAAATGCCATTATTTTCCGAGATTATTAATTGATTTGTATATTAAGCTTATTGTTCATAACAGAAACTTTATTAGACAAAATGAAATAAAATAACAGCCCAGCTGCCGCAAGGAACAGCTCCGACAATGTAATACAATCATCCTCCGCAAAGCAATAATCACCCTGTAGATGTAATAGCGCGACAGGAGCTCCGTGACTGTTATATATGTGACTTTAGGAGATAATCGCTGTTATCAGAGCACACAAGGGTCACCGTGTGCCATGCTGCTCAGTCTATGAGCCTGCTGCTATACTTGTTGTGCTGTCATGCAAAGCCGAGCTAGAGTGGCGTTCTTAGCCCCCTGTTCACGCTAGGCAGTCGATTGCCTTGCGTCAGCATAGGGCAGCCAAGTTATTTCAATGGGTTGCCCCATGCGTGGAAAATTAGCTCGTGCAGCAGCTTCAGCTGTGAGGTTTGTACATGTTATGACCACGCATTTGCATGTGGTTTTCATTTGCTAACGACATGTGTCTTGATTGACGCATTTCAGGAGACATTAGCCTATTAACCTCCCTGGCGGTCTGATTATGCAGGATTTTAGCAGGCCAAAGCGGTACATTGTTTTTCATGGCAATTTGTTGTTTTATATTGTTGGCCTGTAATTCTTAGTAAATCTTAGGAAAAAACTCACCTAAATCTGTCCAAAACAAGAGTCCAGTAGACATCCCGAGTATGATAAAGTTTGAAACAGGAAATCATAAATTATAATATTATAAATAATTATAAATATTTATAAGAAATAATATTATAAATCATTATCAAAAATTATAATATAATAATTTTTTAAAAAAAGGTCTAGTAAATGGGAATTCTGGGGGCGTTGCCTGATCCGTACCACAGTCAATAGAGTACCAACTTCGCCTATCACTGAGCAGAATCGTCGCTGTCGTCACTTTCAGTGTCTGATGATGAATTTCCCAACGAATCCCTATCGCTCAATTCTGCAAGTGAGTCTAATTCACTATCGCTGTTTTCTACCTGGTCTAAAACCGCTTTTGACCTAAAGGGACG